ACCAAACAACCTGTTAAATTGTCTGAGTCATAGGCCGACCCAGCGACCTACACAAGTATATGGTACCGCATAGTAGTACGTGGTACTGTGGTACCCTACTCTTCAGTTATTTGGCTAGCCGATTTCCACGCTACTCAGTAACCTCCACAATTATAGAAATTTTGTGTTACTTCATCATTGGCAATCACTTGCACTAACTGTATAATACGTTAACAACTCTATACTGTAATCTGTATTCCCGTGAGATTACTACTATGGGAACTTATAACATCGTGGGACCGTTGTAATGTTTATGACTTCGTTAGTCAAAACAGAGCAAACCGCGTCAAATCGTTGACTCTCGTAACTTCTTCCTTGAGAAAAGTGATGAGAAGATTTCTTATTTTAAAGTCTGAGAAAACCTGGTCTCAGCTTTAGTCAACGAGTTAAGTACTGTTGGAATAAGCAAATTGAAAATTCATCGGACAAAAATCTATGTGTTGAAAGCTGGTTGACAAGCATACTAATTAACACGAAATATATAAATAACTGTATCAAAATGCCATTTAAAGCATATTTGATGGCCATGTCTTGCATTGCAAATAAATACTTTTTCTAATACGAGCTTGTCTGAGGTCTGTCTATGTCAATAATATACTGTATAGGCCTACATTTCGAAATCCATAAATAAATAGGCACATATGAACCCGGAAATAAAACTTGACACGTCTCTACGACTCGTTCAATTTGCTGTTTAATTTCCTTGCCGGTCTGTTTGGAAAAAGTTGTGAAGGGCTAAATTAGTTTGATAACGAATTCACTTCGTCTTATCCATCTTATCAATGCACTTATTTTTACATGTCAGAAGCAAGGCCGGGTATGACATGCAGAATCTTATCACCAAACGATAGCTTATCAATGAGTGCCCCTGTCTCCGGTCGACAGTTTCATTGAAGCCAGCGAGACACACTCCATGTATATAATTTTGTATGTACAATATAATTTATTAACAGGTTATAATATTCTGTCTCGTTTTAGCGAATTTCCCATATAGGGAATAAGCTATTACCGTAGTACTCATGGTAAGACCTGGACCCAGGACCGATTTACTTATATATGTGTGTGTGTCCGTCAGCACGATAACTCAAGCAAAATTGATCCGATTTTGATGAAATTTGGTACAAACGTGTAAACCTACATTTATTCGAACGAGTTCGTGAATCAGCATGATCGGACTATGGGAACAGGGGTTTATGGGGGGTTTTATGGGGTAAAAATAGGTTTTTCCCATTTTTGACCATAAAAACACAAAATTTCACAATTTCTTTCCAAACCATTTTGTAGAGCTTAAAAAACAAATAATTTAGTATATTGAAGCATTATTATGCGCCTAATGGTTGCGAAGAAAGTTCCAAAAAATTATTAATTTAAAATTCCCATGTTATTCTTATGGAGAATAAGTCAACAGTTGTAGTTTGCTTGTTTATGAACAAATTTTGTTCGACTTTGGAAAATACATTCTTTTCTTACTAAACTATTAAGATTTTACAACAAAAAACACTTTTTACCCCCCCCCCCCCTGTTGCAGCAAACCTAAGTATTTGTTAAACTAATTATTTTTAAATTGGGAATAAAATGTGATATTTTTAAGGAGACATTTTAATGTAAATCCAATCAGGCAAATGGAAATTCGCTTAGTCTGCAGGTATGCTGTGGCGGGGGTATTTCGTTTTATGTCCTTACCTAAGCATGATTGTAGCATCAGCCATAGAAACTTTGTTATAAACTTTAACCGTTTAAAATCTTAATAATAAAAGTGCATAATTTGAAAAAGTGGTTATATGACGAAACCATCGCTTTTAGAGAAAAGAGAGGGCAGTGTTCAAATCCCTAACAATTACCAATCAATTTGAGCTTTATGAAAGTCGCAACTCGCTGCGGGGTTCAAATATATACAAACGAGAAATTTGCAAATTTTTCAGTCGATAAGAACTGTTTTTTTTTTCTACATAAAGAATCTTATAAATCATAAAGATTATCTTTCTTTGAGTACTCATTCAAATTAAAGTATTATTAGCCCTATAGTTTAGTTTATACTGATGGTGTAGCAAAAAAAGCCGTAGGACACGGTTACAGAGTTAACAAAGGATAAAACAGGAAATTTTTCCATTCCATGTCCCGAGACAGCTAAATATTTCGAAAAATATTAAGAAAGGTCTACAAACTTACTAACACAAAACATACAAACTAACAAAGTTACTGGTCATATTTTTTTTTAAATTATTCAGTGACACTCTACTTTTCAGAGGGATGGCCCGCTAGGAGTCAGAAGAAAATCTTGACCGTAACCATAGGTCCATATAACACATTGCCACAAATCCGAGCTCAAACGGACAACGGAGTCAAAAATGGCAGCGTTGTGAATATTGATTAATTTAAAAACAATAATTGAGGTAGTTTTTTTAACATTATGAATGAAGTGTGCTCCGTTATCTTCTCGATTTAAAGGTCTTCTTATCGCAGAACTCCATTCAATCGTGACATCGTCCTTGGGTATTTAAATTTATCTCTCACTGGAATGTAATTGATTTTCTTTTAAACTAAAAAGCGTAACTTCAAAAAGAAAAATGCTATTAGCGTCGGGATTTCGCCGTTGTGTTTCGCTAAGTAAAATCTTCAAACTAAACTGTATTTTTATTATTATTATAAAATATTTTGATTGTTTACAAAATATAAAGATAACAATCCACCTTCACAGAATTATATTTATCTTTGCGTTATCAATTTAAATCGTATTAAAGATTTAAACAGTGCAAAGAACATTTAAATATTTTAATGATGTCCCCAATAATGTTTTATTGTAATCCTATTCACATTTTATGACACTAACTTAAACTGTGTTAAATACATTAATAAAATTAATCATTGGCTATAAATATACACTAAAAGAAGAATAATATTTTGAACCTTTCCATATAAAATTATCTCTGATACTGATACTATTGTTTACTGTAGATTAAATGACGTTTTGTAAACACAGCCTATCTAGACTGGGCTCTAAATGGAAAGTAAACAAAGATAAATTCACTGAAACAAGAAACTTCAATAAATGTGACATCGCTTTTAACTCCACACTGTTGACATTTCTATTGATTCCGATGCTTGGTGTAGGTAAATAAATATAAACATTTAAATTAATTATCCTGTATTTCATCACATTATACGAAATATTGGTTCGAGTAGCATTTCCAAAGGTTTTAAAGAAACAGGAAATTAAATGCTGTGTGATTTTTAGGAGTGTATAACAATCTTATCAACAGACTACGATTTTATTGATCATATCAATTAGGTACTTGATAAGCTTCTTCACTGCAATTTTCATAGGAAGTTTAAAATAGGCCTAATATCTTTTTGAATAAGTGAATCGACAGTAAAATGGAAATGACCTTTAATTAGGTAACATATGCTTTAGTGACTTTAACTCATGAGTCCTCAAGAAGTTTGCAGTATCTCGATTCTACTATTGTGTATGTATACCCTACTGAACATCGACTCAATTAATTACCAACTTAAAACATTAAATTCAAACATTCTTTTCCCGACATTTGTTGTCAAACAACCACTTTCATCCATGAAAGTGTTTTATCCATGTGAGATCCTACTTTCAAAAGACTTTCTTCAGAATATGCAGGTATAGAAAGTGAATCAAGACTTCCAAACGAAGAACAAAAGAACCAAACGAAACAATTAGTAACCACAATTAGTGGTTGTTAACCGCGTCACTCACAATTGAGGTCAATAATCACTTGCGTCCTTGTTATCTATCTTATCAGGCCTCCTGGGGAATCGTGGCATTGTTGGCGTCAATTGTTGAACGAAGAATAAGTAGTGGGTTAGGAATCGTTGTTTTGTTATTGTTTACTTTTGATGGATTGATCAGCTGTTTCAAAACAATAACAATGCTGTAGGACCGAGCATCCATTAGTAATTTTCAATTGTTGTGAACAGTAGGCCAACAATTCGTTATGTTGTTGTTATGTTACATCATTGACTATTTATTTTTACCTATGGCCAAGCTGCGAAGTACATTACATAAAACCATCTTATTTCCATTCTCATGGCCAAATTGTGGGAATTAAAACCAACGTGCAAGGATACTTTCTATATACCTGTCTAGACCTGTATGCCAATGTCATGTATTTAATTCTTCTTGATAAGATTATAAAGAAACATACCTACTTTGCTGAATTGATTAACTTAATGCTTAACACTTTTTGGCACATATGAAATAGAAAGGATTTTAAAGATTGTTGAATTATAGAATGTAGAATGTAGAACTTGTAATGTAAATTTTGAAGAAAGTGAAGGTAGTGCTGATGATTTGCCCTATCCATTGGATTGTTTATAATCGGTAGTACTTAACAATTGATATTGTAGTTTATTTGCCTTTCCCTATTGACCGAGTCAACAAATAGATTAACATAAATTACTTTATCCATTGTTGTATAGTAGCTTCTCCTTTTCCACGTTTTATTCAAGGTACGATGCAGAAACTGGAAACTATGGTAGTTTACCCTAGATAAAGTGAAAGATTAAGAAAATGCCTTATACATCGAACTCCTCTAGTGTATAGATGGGTAACAGATATGGGGCTTGCCAAATCAATATGTTGCCAGTTCAAGAAATATACTAGCTTTTTGATGGATCAAAATTGGAAACTGGGCCCAGCCTTCCTTGAATCTTGAGCTTTTAATGGCCAAAGATCCAATACTAATGGTCCTGAATAAACAGCTGAGAGCTGATCTTAGTCAGTACAAACATGCCATCCATCTCCTTCATAAAACATTCATCCTTCAATCATCATACTGATACCATGGTGTGATCGGCGTCAAAGACATATATTTCATGATCGAAATAAATTCCCCTATCCTAGATCAATATGCTTGACCAAACAGCTGATCGTTGGCAAGCTGCAATCTCAACATCCATTCACACATCTGCTAAGTAACATTTCTACTTACTGGCACTCGTTCATGATCTCCTCCTGCGAGCGGACCTGCACCGGAGCCAATTTCTCCACACTCTCATCATAGTTGCAGAAACACTTGGTGATCTTGTCGTCGAACGTGTTCACCAGATCCTCCAGACTCCCAGAGAACGTCTCGGTGAAGTTGTCCGCGACGGACGACACGGACGCCGTGTCCAGCGTGACGCAGGGAGCGTTGTCCAACTCCAGTTCGGACGTCATCTCCGGAGAGATGGGGTTGGAGTTTGCATCCTCCTCGAGCACGTTGTCCTCCACAGTCGGCTTGCTGTGGTGGAACTCGGTCACTCCCCACTCGTCCGTCTCCTCGAACTGCGCCAAGGGAGCTTCAAACTTCAGCTCGGCCATCTTGGTAACGTCCCGCATCGTCGACCGCGCTGCACTGACTGGCGATCGAGCGGCGTTGCCAACGTGGCGGAGCGAAACTGTCGTGCGGGGAAATTATCGTATCAGCTGATCGTGAAGGGTATGTTTGTGTGGTGATAAAAAATATCATTTAAATGGAAAATATGACAAATATGGACATAAGTTGTGTAAATTGTTTAATGTTAATATCAATTTGTTTTGAATGTTTGTCGCTGTCTTTAATCTCAGGACTCAGGGACAGTATTATATGCAGTATTTTTGAACATATATGTATATCCTGGGGGTTTTTTCCCGAAGATAGTCACCACTATTTAAACTGTGGAAAACCACAGCTTAGGTTAGTTTATAGCTTTACTCACACGTTATTTTTATTTACTGAACAGAAATAATCACAAAAATCTAAGCGTTTTTATTAATTTTTATGGGGCCAATACAAACTTAAGTCTCTTCAGATTGCGTCATACAGATTACTGTATTGTATTTATTTCTACGGCACTACTAATATACTTGAATTTATAGAAAGGTAAAAATCCAACAGTAGCGAGTGGCGACCCTCTTCTGAAAAAGACCCATACCCTGAGACGGTATCTTGTACAATGTACATTGACTCCTTATCTTTATTTGATTAGATGAACACAAACGATGTAGGTTTTATTCCTAGCCAAAGGTAACTTAAGTTATTTATTGTTGTTCACACCGGTGGCATATATTTACAAACGGGAACGGGAGGAGGACTGGAAAAGGAGGAATTTTTCAAACACTTTTCAGATTCGACCATAACTCATATGGAAAATCTAACAAAATTATATTATTGATTATATTAAAGAGTAACAAATATTACTCTGTTAATCTCTAACAAATAACCATAGATGATGTGGTGTTTCTATGATATAACACACTAAGAACCCCATTTTGTATTTATAACGCAAAACTAAACCATTTCTTTACATTTTTGGCACAAAAATCTTTTGTAAAAACAAACACTAAATTGTATATGTTTATTCGGCTATGTCATTGTTGGACGCACGATAATTCTGCTCATGTCGCAATGGTACCGTTGGTAGCCCTGCAGTCGACAGTGCTGCCGGTGCCCCGCTGCGGCAAAGACGGGAACTACTTGTATTGATCCTATGTACAGCGGACTGCGTCAAAACATAGGCGGGCGTTATAGAACAACAACTCAAATGTAATACAAACATCCATCTTCTGAGTGATTTATTTTGCTTTCTTTGGTACTTATAAGGGTGGATGTTGAATCGATTTTAATATTTATCGCGTATCGGATATATTACGATTACATTATTTTTTTTATCAAACGATGAATCCTTGTTATACTCCAATGATTTTGTATAATAGCTTTCTATCTAATTTGTTTCTTACCAGTCTTGTTAGGACCACTGGGTTTAAATGCTCACCTAGGTGACGTCCCAATCTCAGTGAATTCACAGAGAAGTAATATGAACGTTTTTTATCTCTATACATTTTAGTTTTATTAAAATAAACGGTATCAGCATTCTGACACATACTTTCTCCCATAAGTTTGTCACAATCTTTATCATGGGTAAGCAGTGAGAGTAAATATGATACTGTATTTTATAGTTAAAATCACAAAAGTTGCAATAACTGTCGAACCAGAATTGTTACAATGGGGTGTTGTACTATTTTTTAAGGATTATAAGAACCATAATATATTAATTTGGATCAAAACCAGCTTTTCTCCAAAAATCAGATTTGTTTGTTGTGTTTTTTACGGGGAAATAACATAAGTTACAACAACCATATTTTTTTACGGAAATGGGATTTGTACCATTTTGTTCAGAATTTAAAGGACAATTACATACTAGATTTTTAAGAAAATCGTTCGGGCCATTTTCGAGAAAACCATATTTTTCCGTTATTTTATGGAGTTTTCCATTATAATTCAAAATGTAAAAAAATTTAAGAACTTTTAAAATGTTAATGACCGTAACATACTAAGTGAAATCAAAACAGGTTTTTTTTCTAAAATCCTATTTTTTGTTTTTTTATGGGGAAATAACATAATTTACAATAACTTTTGAACCGAAATCTTAACAGAAATGGGATTTGTACCATTTTGTTCAGAACTTAAAGGGCTACAACATACTAAATGTTTCTCAAAATCGTTTTGGGCCAATTTTGAGAAAATCAGATTTTTCCGTTATTTTATGGGTGTTTATAGGAAAATCAACATTAAAAATCAAAATTTCAAAAAAAATAAAAAAGTACTTGGAGATTGGTGCTATGGATAAAAAAGTACACACAAAATTTCATTGAAATCGGACCACAGGTGTAGTCCCTAGCGCTGTACTACACACACACACACACACACAGACAGCACTTCGAAAATCATTTTTTTGTTCGAAAACGGATATATCCACTCAAAACTCAAACTCGAAAATTTGGACGAAAACAATACTTTCTCCATATAGTATGGTATAGGGGGAGAAAGTAAAAATACTATTTATCTTAGACAATTAAAAATGTCTTATGGATTAATCGTAGCGCCTTCATTACAGTAAAGCTAATACTACGCATTCAGAATTGCAAATTTATTGCATTGCCTTATTTGACGGCGTCGCGTAATTAAATGCAAAGTTGAATTTATTCCCTGCTCGCTTTCTTCCCATATTTTAATTTCAATACATTAAAAAAGTAAATGTACAAGGATGTAAATTAGTTGAAATTGCTGCTTCAACACATTTTTGAAGGCTCTACAATATAACTGTAGTAGGCTAATTGGCAATATACAGAAATTTGAATATTTGTATACGGAGTACTGTAATTTACTTCTCAGTGGAGTAAAGGCATTATTCAATTTACCAACAGATTAAATCAATAAAATACAAAGGAGTCTATAATCTGTTTGAACTAGTGAGTGTATGGAATATCCAAGGGACATATTTGGTTCTTTAATCATTTTCTATACATAATGGTATATTAATTATCATAATACCACAGAGTACTGTAAAATAATGTTCCAAAAACTACACTGACTTCTCTTAACATTGATATTTACATAATACACCGCCGAAGCAAACCTGCAGACTAAGCGAATTTCTATTTGCCTGATTGGATTTACACTAAAATACCTCCTTAAAAATGTCATATTTATTCCCTATTTAAATAGAATTAGTTTAACAGAATTAGGATTTAATAAAATTAGGTATGTTGCAACAGGGAGGGTAAAAAGTGGTTTTTTTTATGTTTTTAAGTTAGTAAGAAGCATAATATAGTTTCAAAAATTCGATCAAAATATGTTCATGAAAAACCAAACTACAACAGTTGACTTTATTCTCCATAAGGTTTTATTTCTACAAATTGGTTTGGAAAGAAATTGTGAAATTTTGTGTTTTAGGGTCAAAAATAAGAAAAACCTATGTTTACCCCTTAAATCCTTGTTCCCGTTGTCCGATCATGCTGGTTCCCGAACTCGTTCGAATAAACGTAGGTAGGCTAACGGACACACAAAAAAGTCAATCGGTCTTGGGTCCAGGTCTTATCATGAGTACTACGGTAATAGCTTATTCCCTATATGGGAAATTCGCTAAAATGAGGTTAAATATTATGATGAAAGGTATCGATATAATAAACTATTTATATTATGATTTAATTTCTTGTAAATGCGTCGCAATGCCTTGAAGCATTTATATAAATAAATATATATTTGTTTAATTTCTTATTTCAATAATTGACACTGGGCATAGCTAAAAAAAATTAAACTCCAACAAAAAATTACATATCTGTATGTAATTACAAGTATTTTAGAACTCACCCTAATTATGAGGGGGAAGTGCTCTGTAAAGATTAATTTTACACTAAGCTATTAGTAACATAATATCTTCCTCTTCATAAGAAATTGTTTTTATGATATCAAAGCAAGAGGCGCATGGATATAAATATTAAGATTTAAAAAAACGCATTCTATATATTACAATTTTATACGGTTGGTTATCTATTAACTAATCCATATCGATAAAATAAAAATAAAATAATACTTTCACTAAATATGGGGTAGTTATGCTCTCAACTCCAATATTACGTATAATATTGATTTACGTATAATATTGATATTAATTTACGTTTATATTACGTAAATTATTCTATGTTGAGCGTTGTCTCATATTTTGTAACCAGTCCCAGTAATACCAAGGTATTTTTAAACGTCTCCTTATATAATTGACAAGTTTATTTCAAGCATCACAACTGACTCTATTACATAAAAAAAACAGCTCTGTCTTTTACATTACATAAAAAGGTCTCTGTTACATATTGACAAGTATATTTTCCCTCTAACTCATAGTTTGTGTATGATGAGGGTTGGGGGCACAGCGTTTCCGTAGGCAGTCTAAAAATGAAAACTTATTTGATTGCAGATAATATTTTATGATACAAAATGTTTTTGTAATTGAAAAAATTGCCTTAATTTAAGAAACGTATAATACCATACTTACTCGTCAAGTAAAAAACATTCAATTTATTTAAAAGAATTACCTTTAAGTCAATTATAAGTGCAAATATACTAAAAAAGATAGGAAATTATTTTTATAGAATTTGTATGCTAAATATAAGATTGCTTGTATGGAAATAGTAATGCTTGTATTATTTGTGTAAGTTGTCCTAGATTGCAATCAATTGTCTAAGAATATAGTACATATGTAAAGAAATGGATTCAAGCAATGATGAAATAATGTTAAGCATTTTCTTGTTGAAATATTGGTCTATAGTTTTAAACAACTTAAGCTTGTAGGCTATTTTAAATTGACAAGTTTCCAATTGCATAATGGTTTAAGCATTTCGATTAACCAATTATTGTTTAAAATTTTTTCAGAGTTTGTTTAGGTGCTCGTTTTGACTAAGGTAACTTAAACATTAATTTAGATAATTTCAATTGTTGTTGCTATTTTATTTAGATTTCCAAAGACACGTTTTCAGTAAATTTTTATTAGCATTATATTGGATGAGGTTTATAATTGTAATGTTAAAAAAC